CACCGAAAAAGGTAGATAACTGAGGGGGGGGGGTAGCATATTTATATATATATATATATGGGAGAATAGAGAGAAAGACAGAGGGAGAGAGATGTTGTTTCCGTGGCTTTCTAGGCCTGTACATCCACAGAGATTCAGGCAGCTTCTGACCTGAATACGCTGCTCTCTCTTCTTCTTCTGCACAGCCAAAGGAAGGCAGAAACCCTGCCCTCCCCACGCGCGAACTCGCACTGTTGTCGGTCTGTTCGTGTCTACGGAAACGAGATGAGGTCGAGGATTTGCAGCACGCACATCCCCCCTCCACTAAAGCCTATTTCAACCCCTGCCTCATCTCTTGCTGAGGCTGCTGCAGGTTCTGTGTGCTCTCTCTCTCTCAGCTGCTTCCTCCGAAGCCGCGAACCATGGCCAACCCTTCGACACTTCAAAGGAAAGCTGAGCTTTCACCCAAGTCTGGTTGCGGCACTAGAGCAAACGCTGCGGAAAAGTGGATTGCATGTCAAACTCTGCAGCGCTGACCCAACAGTGCTGAGGCTGCAGCGCACGATGCGAGTCAACGCTGGTCGAACCTGTATGAGTAGGTTGTGAAGTCAGGCTTGGGCTATTCCCTGGCATCGCAACGCATGCATGGCTCATGCCTGTCGCAGTAAGACTTAAGTTTAAGACTAGCGGCGGCAACAGTACTAATAGTATCCGTAGGCAGAGTAATTACACACCACTTGGTACCAACGACCTCCGCCAGCTTCGCTTGGGCGAATGGAAACCCGAGGCCAAAACCCAAGAAGCTTCAACTTCCAAGTCCCGGAACCTGACACCCGGAATTCTGATACCCCCAAGTCCAAACCGTTGTTCAACCCGACCAAGCGAGGCCCTCACGATTCGACGAAAGTTTTTCAGGATATTATGCTTTGAACGCCCGGAGGTATTAAGAAATCATGCTGCTGCTTATTGTTGAGGCGTTGTGAGCTCGAATGTGCGGGTTTGGAATATGCACTGGCTTGTAGAATTAACTGCGTATTTTCTGATGGCCTCTGGCCTTTGATACCGGCAAGCACACCTCGCGACGTTGACTCCGAAGCTAGGCATGTATGAGTAATTTGAGCCCCTCTGTCGCATCCGCATCCGACGGAGCTGCTTCTACAGCCGCTCTTAGCCCGAGGCTGCCGGTGGGTAGAACCTGGGACTGGTCGCACCAATCCAGGTCCAAACCTCGGCGTTGCAGTTTCTGAAACTCCTTTCGTTTTCATGCTTCTGAGAAGGTTTAGGATTCGTATAGTGTGTGTTGGAGATTGTCCAGGAGCACCACGGCTCGTAGCTTGGGATCCAACAGTTTGGACGCTCTTCTTTTTTCGGCGCGGGTTGCGCATAGTGGGGTTCAATGTTGTCTTGCTCGGTGCTTGGGGCCGGGCGTCATTCCAGTACGTCCAGCCGCCCTTTGGTGACCTAGAGGCGGCGAGATCGGAGATCTTCAATTCCAGCGAAACTTCTTCCAGCAGACAGTGTTATGATAGAAGTGCAGATGCAGATCTCTCGGAGGAGTACGGAGGAGTGCAGGCCTCCCACACCCGCTGCGTCCGTCCTTCCAGCTGACCAGGCAAGTTTCGCCTGCATTGGGTGTTGATGGTGATTGTGTGACGGGTCTAGAAATTTAGGGATGTTCAAGGGATTGTATGACACTCGGGTGACACTCACACCGTACCGGTTAAGTGGGTAAGTGGCAAGCCAACAAGTACCCACCCATACCAGGCTAGCGCATACGACAAAGACTCACAGCGCACCAAAATTCAAGCAAACTAGCAGTACATGAGATCCAGCAGGTCCCTGCTCCTTGGGCCAGAATGGCCGCTGGACTACGACTGCCCGTACTGCTACATCTGATACATCCAGACCATATCCTCGATGCCTCAGACCGTAGTCATTGAAGAATGGCACAGCAACTACGAGCAAAGGATTGGAAGTTACGGTTGGCAGGATTGGACTCACGACTCGGACGATGCTTGGCAGCCGAGTGTCGACATCGGACGGTGGTAGAAATGAAGAATTTGACCAATCGGCATCACAACCACCCTGTACTGACACCAGAGAGCACCATTAACAGCTGCTGCACGCCCGAACCAAAAGCATGCATAGCATGCATCATGATGGTCCTGCCAGATTAGCAAGGCATCGGTCCAGCCCTTCGCGACTCAGGCAGATGCTCTCAGGTTGTCGATGGCAAGTGCTGACTATCAAATGCTGATCAAACAGTCTTTGCCCTGAAGAAGCGTCGGCTGCCTGCAGTACGAAACTTCAGCGTTGTGTTCGGGAGATTCCTGCGGCTGCGCTTGCACAACAGCTTCATCTCGGTTCTAACTGACTGTGTGGAGATTGCTTTGCAGTCCACAGTTTAAATTTGTTACAATGTTGTAACTATGGCACTTGACGACTACAGATGGCATGTTCCTGAATGCTACATAAAGCAAGAGTATCCTGTATCTTGAGACGCTGGGATTACATCTCATTCTCAGAGGAGCAGCTTCTTTGAGGACAGGACCCGTCCAAGCAAGTTCCGCAGCTGGAGGTGATGACCTGATGTTTCCGGCTTCAGGCTCGGAGGGTTCAGAGAAATCAGACCAACGCAAGAATAACACCCGACAGCCGCAATGTAGTTCCTAGGCAACCGCTAGAAGTGAACCATGAGTTATCGGCAATTGGCAACTGATGGTTCGCCGAACATACAAACAAACCATCATCGCCAAGACTCATTAGCTGCGATTGATAAAACCTACCTGCAAACATATTAAGCATCAAGCTTCTTAGCATAGACTTCCGCTAAGGTGGCTTAGGGGTTTCAGGATTCGCAGGACGAGCACCTGCAGGCCCGAAATCTTCTTAACCCCTTAATCCCCAGCCCAAGGTTTCGTTAGCGAAGGGCTGAGTACTGTCAGGTCCATCGGAAATTCTGAAAAGTCTAGAGCCTGAGCGTTAAGTCTGGACTACAACTCGAACTTTTGAGTTACCTCGGGATGTTCCCAAACCCTCCCGTACCAACCCGTAAAGCTCCCGACGCCCAGGGCATGGCCGAACATCTGGAAGGGCTGGGAAAAACCGCTTTCAGACCTCGTGCCAAGATGTTGCATCCAGGGAAAAAGCTCCATAGAACTCCTGTCAGCCCAGAATTCTCCTGCGTATCCTTCCTCCATTCAAGGTGCACAATGTAAGTTCGCGTTTGGGGCCTCTTTGTGGGAGGGACAGCTCTCCGTTGCGAAGTCTGGCACGGATCTCTCCATGATGGGCGATGGATGAAGACAGTGCTTGCAAACCCCTAAACCCTAAAACCCATCATGGCGCAGAGCTTTCAAGGGCGACATGGGTAGTTGTCAAAATTATGGTCCCTTTGGGGGTACCCTAAATAATAGGTGCCGTATTATCATAAGGACCCAAAAAGGGACCATAATTTTGACAACCATCCACATGACTCAACACAACATCAGTCAAACATGGCAGGGGCTGTCATCATTTGAGCATCACCCTTTGGGCGCGGGCCTGTCCAGGTGCGTGACCTTTGCTCTTCTGGGATGGAGACAGCTTTCGAGTGCTCCAAGCCTGGCACTACCTTCGACCTTTAAAAGAAAGCTGCCGTGGTCACCTTCTCCTTTCAAGTTTCGAGTGTTTTGGGGCCGGCAGAGCTGAAGATGTCTCGACTCCAGATCCTAAATACTGGCTTAGGCTCCCTTGCCCTGAGCTCTTTACCAAAACAAAAGTTGTTAGGTGGCTTCAATGACGCAGCGCAGCGACGAAACTTCACACCTGCAAACCGGAACTTGAGTTCATTTAGACATTGAAGACCGCAAACCCCACGCATCAAATCTGAAGGTCTCCGTGCCGACACCTCCTTTTTATGTCGAAAGACGCGGCGGGATGAATCCGCTAACTCGCAAGTCGCCCAGACCCCGGAGTACCGCCAAAGGAGGGTGTTACACTTGTACAGCATAGAACTAAACAGCATGTGTTTCTGCTACAGTTTTGTGGAATACAGTGTGATGTTGTGCAAGAGACAGCTGTGGGTCGAGATTCATTTTCGAAGCCAGGGAATAAGGCTACTTCGAGCATGATATCGGGGCTAATTAATGGCGGTCATTTGTAAAGGTGCGATCTGGAACAGCTGACTCAGACCAGGAGTAGAAAACAGGAAGACGAAAATGCAATTACGGGCTGAGTTCGGAATTGGCCATAATCCTCGTCGTCTTGGTACACAGGATGCTAGGTCTATTGCACATACGTGCAGCGTCGACCTCAGAATGGTCAATGCAGTGGTACGCAGTACATAGCCATAGGGGCTGAGTACCGCTAAAAAAGGTTAACCTTTTGAATTATAGTAGGATTATATGAGCCCCAAAGGGTTAAAGGTTACTTACTCAGCCCCTTAGTAGCAATGATTGCGGATTCAACTCTGGGGTCTGGGCACCCGCCTAAACGTCCTTTTGTCTGCCTGTGTCCTTGAAGCACAAGACGTTTGCAGATTGTACCTTTTCCGAATCCGTGGCAGCGGGAGGTTGCGCAATGTGTGGGACCAAATATCGGTTCTGAGTGATGGGATCCTTGACAGGGACGCCTGATTTAGGAGCCCCAACTTCAATGCCAAAGGTGTGCAACCCGAATAAAGCACAATACCGAACGAACCACCTTTGGCAGACCCTAAACCCTAAACCCTAACCCTAAACCCAGAAGCTCATTGCTTCAGTGCGTCGGTCCGAAGTTCCAAACATCTCGAGATATGGGACTTTCCAAAAATAGGGGGTACCTTATTTGGGGGTCCTTATAATTGGGATCCTATTATTTAGGGTACTACATTAGGGTCCCCTATTTTCGGAAACTCCCATATGCATGCTCTCAGACTTTAGACGGCCTTGTTTGCGTCAGGACCTTATGTAGCTGCGCCTATCCCCGACCCACAAATCATCGAACCAAACACGAGGGCACAAGCAGCATACTACACTTTGAGGAAGGGAGGGGTCATGCAGATGCATGCCCTGGCTCGATTGGTGCGCAAATGCTGAGTCCGATAGTTCTCGCAGACTCGAAATCCATGTCAAGAAGCCGTTCTTATCGCAGGACATTAGGGATACAGCGACCTTCCTTCAAGCCAGCAGTTGCCAAAAGTATCTGACAGCTCAACCCTTAATCTTCAAACTGAGACTTCGGTTGCCCTCTGCGTTAAGGCCTACAACCACAATGAGGTCTCGATTAAGTTGAAGCCACAGGCAGCAGAGATGTCTTTAAATCGATAGTGAGACGCGAAAACTGTGGTGGGATCTTGGCTGCGCAAGGGATGTAGAACCGCACCGAAGACGGACATCCACCTCAACGCGGTGGTGCGGTGGCAACTCCTGCATCTTAGGTTGTTTCTTGTGTAGGGACTTGTTGACTGTGTGAGGGCTTGTGTAGTCCTTGCTTGTGCAATGTAGGCAGGAGGCTAACGGATGTACGCGGGGCATGGTTGCTAACTGGGAAACAGGGTTTTCTTCGGGTGGACAATCCCAGCTAAGCACTATGCTAACAGTAAAGTTGGGCTGGCAACCCAGCTGTACT